CTGCACATGATTATATAACCCGCACTAATATATTATAATTTATAATAATGTATACTATAGCATTATAACATAATAATACCTAATAATGTTAATAATAATTTTCAATACAAGTTATTTGTTAAAAATAATAATTGATGGGTAAGCTTTTTAAAAAGTATCTCTGTACTCAGGTTACACATACCACCAAAGAGTCAGGTTGGAGAACTACTGTCCTAGACAGCTGGATTACAAGAACATCATTTGTTGCATATCCACCTAGGACAGGCGATAAATCAGCCAGCTTACAAATTTCAGTAAAGTAATGTGTGCTCTAGACACTGACTCATTCTCTAAGGGGAATTTTGAGGAATAAAGAGAAATTGACCATGAATCACATTACAAAGGTTTGAAACCTTAGCCTGTCCCATTCATTTCTCTTTCCCACATGATTATAGCTGGGACTTTTGCTTTACTTTGTGGCCAGACTGACTCTTGCAGATGTGTTATTTCCATGCACTGGGTCCTTGCCTCATGTGTGACCAGGAGGGGAGTGGAAAACCATGGCTCTTGAGTCTGCTCTGGGACAGTCATCTCCCTGGAAGTCTCACATTCCCTCTAACCCTGTGGTTTCTCTGGCTTGATGAATTTTGTCTAAGGTGCAGCTTCAAAAACATTGAAATGAGGAAAAAAAGTAATTTTTACCTTGCAAAACTCGCCTGTTGCTTCTGTTTCTTAGCTCTATTGTGACTTATTCTGATCACCTTGAGCTGATTCCGTTTCACTTGTCAAAGGCATGCCTATGTCATGCCATCTACAGTCTTTATAATTTTTTAAAGTTGTTCATGTATTTAAACAGAAAACACTTCCTGAATAGCTGTGAAGGGTCAGATACTCTACTGTCTGCCTGGATACCAAGATTAAGATGGGGTCTCTCACAGACCATGTAGGGGGAGGGTCATGGGGTGTGGTTGAAGAATAGGTAGATTGCCATGACATGTAGGAAGGGCACCTACCCAAACATGGGACTGGGGCAGAGAGTGTAGAGGGAAGTCTTTGAGGGTGACGCCATAGTCGATGTATCACTAAGCCTACCTCGATGACTTCCCTCCTGGTGTAAAATAAGCTGCATTGACCCTTCCTGTGAAGAGGACATAGGAGTCAGCCTATCAAAGAAGAGAGAACCTAGAAGTGTGGTGACTGGCATTTAGATCTCAGATCCAGTGACAACTTACGGAAAATGAGAGGCCATATTGTGTTCAACTTAAGGACAGATCCTGAGGGCTGCATTCCCCTGGAGTCTGATGGGAAGCTGTGAAAGGAAAGTGATCAGGAGATTGACATGGTCTCACGGACCTTTCTGAGAATTCCTTGCGGTAGAATAGGGAGAGAGATGGAGCACAGAAACCCGGGAGGAGTTGTTGTGGAATACCAGGGAGAAACAATGAAACCTAGAGTAACTTAGCAAGGAGAACATCACCCAACAAAATAAAACACAGAAGTGTTACAGCTGTCAGTGGGAAAATGAATTAATAGAAGTGTGTATTTGTTTTTAAATCTCAAGACTTGGGAAACATTTTAAATCATGACCAAGTAAATGAAATAAAATATTGATTGTGCACACTGTGGCAGGTGTTAGAAGAATATAGATTACTAGATCTAATTTTTCTAAGGAATAGATGTTGTGAAGGATAAGAAGCAGAATGTTCCAGATGTCTTGTAGTATGTTGGAATTAAGTAAAGGGCTCAGCAGAAACCTGCAGAGGAGCCCCCTGGGTTTTCTTAGGGGTCAAGAGGCTAGTCCATCCCAGCGTAGAATCTGTAAGGTGACAGAGAACAGTTGTAGTCTGTATCTTAATTAGAGGGCACGGTTCGCATTAACATAGTGGAGGGGACCACTTGATATTTGAGATGTGCAATGTGCAAGGGGATGGGAAAGACTTAGAGGCTGGCAGTGCAGAAGCTGAAGTTCGTCCATCCAGCAGGGATCTCTGCCTTTGGAGGAAGTGTGCCGTTCTCTGCTGCCTCACATCCCAGCCACTAGATCCCACAGCCGCCTCTTTAGCACTGTGATATGTGATAGGATTAGTGCAACTGAAGCGCTGAATTTTTTTTTATTTTATCTACTTTTAATCAGGTTATGCTCGAAGAGCCATTTTTGATGGCACAGGTGTAGACAGACAATGTGAGTAGGACTGAGGGGTTTTGTGAGGGAAATACTTAGACTTTTATTGTATAAAATTACTCTCATAGGCAGTAAGAAATCAGGATTTTATCACGAGTTCAGTCATATGTGTTGTTTGTTGTGAGAATTAAACACCTCACATTTTACATATGAAATCTAATTTTTTTTTATGTTCATTTACCAAAGTAGTAGTAGGAGGAGGTTTATGCCTAGGGACTGTGAACTCCCTAACCATGGATTCTTGGCTAGATTTGCAGTACCACGTATGTTTCCTCCTGTCTCACAGCAAATTTAGGATATTTAACATATAAGGAGCACAGAATTTCCTTTTGTTTTCAATTTGAGAGAGTATAAACCGTTTGCTCAAAACTGTAACTCCAACAAATGAGAGAAGTTTGAAACTTAGCTTCCTAGTCTTCTATTCTTGGCAGTGTTTTAGTTTTTGAGTTAATATGTGTTGTTTCTAGACAAGTTTATATTCACAGCAAAAACTGAGTTTAAAAGTACCCATATAGCCGTTTCCTCCACACATGAAAAAAATTAAAAAAAAAAAAACAAAACAAAACACTCTGTTACTGACATTCTGCCCCACAGTGGCATATTTGTGAAAACCAATGACCCTGCACTTGACACATAATTATCACCTAGAGTTCATAGCTTTTATTGGGGTATGTTACATCCTATGAGTCTTGAGCATATACATAATGACTTGGTCCCTTATGGAAGCCCTGTATAGGATAGCCCCTCTACCCTCAGACCCCGTATTCTGCCCTTTTTTTTTTCTTCCTCTCCAGGCTCCGGTGAGCACTTGTCCTTGAACTCTTTCTGTAGTTCCCTCCCTCCCTTTTTAACATGATGTCTAGCTGGAATCAGACATCCTAGAACCTTTTCAGTGGCCACTTTTACATGATACTATACACATTTCAGCTTCCTTTACATACTTGCATAGCTTGTTCATTGTTTTCCATTTTGACATATCAGGCTCTATTGCCTGGATAGGTCATAGTTAATTTATTCACCCATTTCCTCAAAGACCTTCTAGTTACTTCTGAGTGATAGAACTTGTTAACAAAGCTGCTTTACACTTGGGTACAGTTTGTGTGTGTACGTGTGTATGTGAGTATTCACTTCACATAGGTCAGTAGCAAGGATCACCATTGCTGTGTGTCATGATAAACTCCACAAGGAGAGCATAGAACAAGATAATTTGAACACAGGGAACTTCCCAGAAAATCATACTCCAACCAAGGACTATTCGTGGAGATGACCTGGAACCCCTGCACAGGTGTAGCCCATGGCAGTTCAGTGTCCAAGTGGGTTACATAGTAATGGGAAGAGGGACTGCCTCTGACATAATCTGATTGGCCTGCTCGTTGATCACTCCCCCCTGAGGGGGGAGCAGCCTTACCAGGCCACAGTAGATGACAATGCAGCCACTTTTGATGAGAACTGATAGACTAAGATCAGAAAGGAGAGGAGAACCTCCCCTATCAGTGGACTTGGGGAGTGGCATGCATGCAGAAAGGGGAGGGAGGGTGGGATTGGGAGGGGAGGAGGGAGGGGCTTATGGGGGGGATACAAAATGAATAAAGTGTAATTAATAAAAAAAAAGATTAAAAAAAAAGAATAGTTTCAGTTCTGTAAGAAAATTGTTTTCCAAAGGGGACTGACAAGTTTTGTGCCCTCACCAGCAATGAGGGAAACAGCTTTGTACACACCACCTGTACCAGCAGGCAGTGTTGTCCTTGTTTGGGATTTGTGTGTTCTGATTGACAGATAGCTGCTCTGTTGTTGTTTTGATTTGCAGTTTGCAGGGATGCATGGTGTTGAATCACGTTTTGTACATTATTTGCCATACGTATTTTTTTTTTGGTACAGCATCTCTTCAGGTATTTTTGTCTATTTTATAAATAGGTTGTTTATTGTTGAGTTTTTTGTTAATATTTTTATTTGTGTTAAAATTAAGAGAACTATTTTACTTAAAAAAAAAATCAAAAGCATCCTCCTACTGCAGCACCCAGCTACCTCAGGTAGAAGCTGATTTGCCCGAGTGTTCTCGTAGTGAACATAAGCGAGATCACAGAACACAGCACTGGGCAAGCCCACTCTAAGAGTGATGGCCACTCTGCACGTTCCTAGTCATAGACAAAAGCCAGTTTATGGTACACACTACAAAATGGCCGACACCCTTCTTTCTATTAACACAACTGCTGCTTCTTTTATACCAATCACTAACTTAGTCCCACTCTGTCCTTACACGGCCAGCATGAAAATTAAGATAGTAATAACATTTTCTCCACGTTTGAGAGCTCTGTTCTAGAAGTTAAACCACCTTTCCCTGAGAGTGCCCTAGGCCTAGGGTAGTGTCCCGTAGGTTGCAGGCTTTCCAGTATAAAAATGGTCACATCACCAGGTAAACGCCATCTCCTTTGAAACTGTCTAAGTTCAAATACTATATGTATCCCCTTGAGCATCTCCCTGCTAACATAGCTCCCACTTCACTGTGCTGCGTGCTCTCCCGTGTTGCTGATAGCTGCAAGGAACTGAGACTCATTGGCACATGCTGGCCTGATGGGATTTGGTGATCAGTAGAGAAGCCAACAAAAGCAAAGCACATTCTACAGTGAAGGTTTTCATAGGTCATTTCACAGTAATGGTTTTGTAAGTGAGTTTGACTTCTATCAAGAAAAAGAGAAAATTCCATAACTTATGGGAAACCAGTTAGCTCAACAAACCTTAGTCTAAAGTAAAGATGCTCATAAGCTATTATTAGGCCTTGGTGGGTAGGAAAGCCTTGGTCTTGTTTTCTCTGTAACGTCCCTCACTTTCTGTCTTCCAGGAATCATGTCTGACCACCAGTTTGGAAACCAGTTCATGTGCAGCGTGGTGGCCTCTCATGTGAGTCACCTGCCTACAACCAACCTCAGCTTCGTCTGGATCGCCCCACCAGCTGGCACGGGCTGTGTGAACTTCATGTAAGGGCCTAACGTCTCTGTGACTAAATGTGGGAGGCAAATGCTGCCCTTCACGGGATTACAGAGTAACTGTTTAAATGTATTGTGTCAGTAGCTTTGACATTAATTAAAACCATTAACTGTGGTGTTAAAAGAAGTCAAAACTGGTTTTTAAAGGAGTCAGTTTTCAGTTAAACTTTTATTTCGCATATTTATTTATAGGCTCCATGCTTATAAATTCAATCCCAGCTGCTAACAATAAAATAAATGAACTGGTAGAGGAGGAGGAGAATCGTGAGAAGTTATTAAAAGGCACAGGTTTCGTTGAAGATAGCAACAGTGTGAAAACTGCAGCTAATGTGTTTCCTATGGCTTCAAGTTTAATCTGAGACTGTTCTTTGATTGGGTAGAACAAAATGGAAGCAGGAAGAGGTAGCATGGAAGATTGTACAACTTGTTGAGAGAGTAGGGTAAGAGAGAGAGGGAAAGAGAGAGAGAGTAGAGGTTAGTGAGAATTTGAGAATGAATGAATGTCCTTCAAAGTCAGGACCCCAGTAACCTACTTTCTTTAGCTAGCCTCCATTGGCTAAAGTTTCCACAACCTTCCTAAATAGTACCCCCTTCTGGGGACCATGCATTTAACACAAGAGCCTATAGGAGACATTTCCAATGGAAACCACACTTTAAGACAGTATGTCTTAAATAATACCATCACTAAAGATAAATATATTGGCTAGGTGTTGGTGGTACATGCCTTATCTCTTGTGAGTTTAAGGCCAGACTGGTCTACATAGGGAGCTCCAGGATAGCCAGGGTCATGTAGAGAGACCACATTTTCAAAAGAAAGTATGTGTAAATGTATGTGTGTGTATGCTAATTAATACCCTTAGCCATTCTGTAATGTAAACATATAGCAAAACCAAACTGTCCCCCCAGTTGCTATTTGCCAATTTAGAAGCAAAGATAAAAGAGTGATGCCCCTGAGCCTTCGGTCCAGGAATTGTGCTGTAGATGCATCAGTTGAGGCTGGACACCCCGTGATCAATAGTTGAGCTCTGCAATTTGACTAGTTGTAGTTTTATGTGATGGTTTCCATCTACTTCCAAGAGAAGCATTTCAATGAGAGGTGAAGACTACACTCTCACTGGATATAAGGATAAGTTTTAGAATGAAGTTTCCTGCTAGACCCATGGCCTCATTGGCCCTGGGAGTCACTGGGTTTACAGAACCAGGTGTGATTTCCCTCCTGTTGGGTGGGCTTTAAGTTGATGTGACAGCTGTTGGTTGCAGTCAAGATGTGAGGGCACTGTTGCACCTTTAGGTATATCTTGCCGTGCCGGCATTGTTGTGGTTCATAGATAGCACAGCTAAGTAAACTATTGATTGTGTTCTGCGCTTCACAGTTTACATAGGTTCTAGACAGGGCAGAAAGACTGAAAGAGCCAGAGAAATAGGAGGTCTGCTGTAGGATTGTGTTTCCTAGAAATGACAGGGAAGCTACACCTGTGATTCCTCAGCAATATGGCTGCCTAAATAAGATCTGAACTATCATGTGAATAGATATGCTAAAATGGAAAGGGGGAATCTGCTGTACCCATAGACAACAAACTACAGGTAACTAATGACTGACTGACAGAGGGAGAACTAGTCATTCCCACGGACACAAACCCCCTAGTTGGTTATCCAGTGCCAAGCAGTCAACTCTGAGATCATATACACTCAAGCAACACTAAATGGGCTCAACTGGTTGTATTTGTGTGTGTGTGTGTGAGAGAGAGAGAGAGAGAGAGAGAGAGAGGGAGGGAGGGAGGGAGAATAAAGAAAACTGGCCATGACTTTGAGAGGGAGGGGGAAGGATGGGAAGGAAGAGGGCAGTGATGTAATTATATTTAAATTAAATTTAAAAGTACTAAAAGAACAGTCCAGTCCAAGCAACAAGAAAGGGAATGTTAGAAAGTAAAGTTAAGTGAATATAATCAATACTTCAGGGCTTTGCACACTTCTTGCAAAATGAGCACAAATTTAGCTTTGAGCTTCCTGATCAAAAATGTGTGTTTAAAAACTGCTTGGCGAGTTAGCTACTTTTGCACGGCTATAACCAGAGTACCTGAGAGAACAACTAATACAGGGAAGAATTTATGTAGCTCACCGGGAAGGGGAGACTACATTGTCATCAGTAGGTGGCTGGTGGTGGTCCAGAGGCAGGGATCCTGTGGAAGCTAAGATTCCCTCATGAGCTCACTAAGAGGAGACTGGAGCTGGAGTGACCATTCTTCACAGCAGGACAGATGCCACGCTGGCTTTCTCAGCACTGACTGCAGCCCTTCCCTACCCTGCAGCCACTTTTCCTCAGCCTTCTCACCTGGTGTTTGTTCAGGCCCCTCGCTGCATTTGTTTTTATTTATAACATATATTCTTGTTCATTTAATTATCATTTTACCACTACAATGCAAATTCCTTGAAGGCAAAAATCTTTTTTTTTTTTTTTTTTAATCCTTTAGTGATCTGCTCCAACAGTCTAGAACAGTCCTTGGCACGCAGCAGTTACTCACTGAATATTTTTCAAATGTAGCTATTCACACACAGACAGGAACAGCTGTTCAGTAGATAGGCAAAGCAGAGGTAGAGGATGTCTTTAATGCGCCTGTTCTAACTTCATGCTCAGGGAGCAGAAGCCATGAGACTGGTGTATGCCAAGAGGCACAACTAACCCTCCTCCCCTAACACCATCCAGCTCAGTGTCAGGGTTTCCAACGCCCCCCCCCCCCCCGTTCCCCTCCCGCCCCACTGACTCACACTCTTCCTGCCTGTCTGTGTTCTGTGCGACCCAGCTGAGAATATCACAGTCATCCCGTAGAGCTGGTGGACACTCAGTCCCATTGCCTTCTTCCTTGTACCCGAGCCCTTTTCTTCACTGCATCCTCCAGTGTCACTGCAGAGGTTCCTAACTGGCCAGCCCACTTCTCCCCACTTTGTCCTACACAAGGGCGCGTAGCTAATCTTCTCAGGCACAATGATCATTTGCTGAGAATTTGGAGAGGCCTGAAATGCGCCTCCTAAGCCAGGCGTTTCGCAGGGATCGGCAGTCCCTTCTCCAGCTTGCTTTTGGGGTCCTCTTTCTGGCATTCTGATGAGCACAGTGTAGAAGGGCTCTCTACGGCTTCCTAAAAATTCTGACTGTCTTCGTGGTTTTTCTCTTTCCCTAGGATGCTTTTGTCCTCAAGTCTAGTTGTCTACATGTTTAAGACTTGTTCAAAAGCGTTTCTGATTGACAGGGCAGGTTTTTCTTGTTGCTGTTGTTTGGGGGGGGTTGTTTGTTTGTTTTTTGTATGTGTGTGCAGTAGTTGGCACGGCATCTCAGCTGTGAGATTTCAAGCTACATGAACTTAAGTGTTACAGTGTATTTTAGTTCGCTAGTGATACTTGTTTCTTGCAGCCTTCATACATAGCTTCTTACTTTAATATAAGAATTGCTTTTTAAAAGGCAAAACATACAGTAATGGAAACCATATAAAACTGCCTACTTCAAACAAATTTAGGTTTTCTTTTTTATTTCATTTTTTTCATAGTGGGGTTTGAAGCTACAGCATTGATAATGCTTATCCACGTTCTCCGCCCTGAGTTATAATGAATCTCCAAATTTAAGTTTTTAATTGAATCTATTATAAGGTAATACTAAAAATAAGATTTAAAAATATTTTTCTTATCACTATACTTGTTAAAAATACTACTTATGTGTAGAGATATGTTTAAAGCTATTTTATCTGGTCTTTTATATCTACCACTCTTCTCCACCCCAGTCCCTTCCAACACCCCAACACCAGGTCAGAGAGACACAAGGTTAGTGGGGAGAGGGGTCGTGAGATCTTTTTAGACTACTTCCTGCTGAAGGGGCTTTGGGTTCCTTGGGGGCAGGCTTAATCTTCGCCTCATTGGGATATCTCCAACTTCTTGTCTCTTTTCTCTTGACCACTTAACAAACCAGCAGCAGGAGGAGCAGCTGTACCTCCTCTTCTGGGGGTGCTGGGTATTTTTACATCTTCTCTAGAGTCCCCAGAATTAAACTATGTTCAGCTGGCAGAATCACACCTCTACCAGAGCACAGCAGGGGCGGACAATCTGAGGAAGCCCCATAGCCTACACCTGATATTAAAACCAAAAACCTGTTTGTAGACACACCTGGGAATATAAAGACACCAAAATTCTCACTACACTTTGGGAAGAGAGGTTGTCTTGGGCTCAGAGCTCAAGCGTGCCATCATGGTGAGGAGGCACCCGTCATGGAAGGCAAGGGTTGGTAGAGCACTTGGCAGCAGGATCATGTGGCTGGGGCTCTTCACAGCTCAGTGGTGCTGGAGTCAGAGAAGAGAAGTGCTCACCTGGCTGCCTCCCTTTCCCGTCTCTTTCATCCCAGCCATGGGATGGGGTTGCCTACATTCAGTGCGGGTCCTTCCTCCTGAGTTAAAGTTCTCCAGAAGCTCTCTCAAAGACATGCCAAAATGTCGCTCCCAGGTGAGCCCAGATCCAGTCAGTATGAAAGTGGAGATTACGCTTCGCTGAGAATACACTCAGCACTCTCTAGACTGCTTGATAAACAGCCAGAGTTATAGAGAACTTCCGTAGGACTCGCTAATCGCTCTCTTTTCCCGTCACATGTGAGAAGTACAGGAGAGAGAGAGAGACTGAACATGGACTACTGAAGCTATCTGTTAAAAATTTCCTGAAACTGAGTCTTGCATTTTCCTACCTACATTCCTTACTGCAGTAATGGTTATATATCTATGTGTATGTGGATATATGCATCCATAATTAGTAACTTTCCAGCAATATTTGTAGATTAAGATTAAATATTGAAGACAATACGCAGTGTTAATTTTAAACACCAAACAAAACTAAAACAGAACAATAACCTACGGAATTCAAAGTCAAATGCACCACGTATTTTTTTTTCCAGTTAGCCTGGAAATTGGAGCTTTGATTTGTGAAAGTAGGAGTGGAGTTCTTCTGCGTTTCACTTTTTA